GAAGAGTCATGGAGATCGCACTGGTTGACATTCAAGCGTTCATGGTTGAGGGTGAATTCATTCCAAAGGAAATGGCTATTCGCATTGGCAAAAAAAAGAGTCATTTTCTATTCAAGCCATCTGTAGAGTTTTCCAGTTTGAACAAAGAAGATAAAAAGATGGCGAATCATGTGGAACGTTACGTTCATGGTTTAAAATATTCCAGTGGTTATGTGGATTTGAATGAGCTGGATCAAATACTACGAGATAAACTGCAGCAGACAAACATCATCTACGTAAGAGGCCATCAAAAGATTCAGTTTTTGCAGCGAAAATGTGCAGAGTTGGAGATGACCAATCACATTGTTAATTTGGAAGATTTTGACCATTCTTAGTGGCAGCCAATAACGTTCCTACAATCCATTCCACCCTGCATGAATCATTTCCATGGAGGAAGGTTCCAGTGCAGTCTTCACAATGTCGATACTTTATATAATTGGTTATGTTATTCATTACCAAAATAAAAAATATATATAATAAATTCAGAGTTTTTATTCATCACATCCCTTATTTCTCAGTATTCCAACAATGACAATTGAGATCAAAATAAGTGAGCATATTAGTGAACAACAAAGTGTCAAAATTTCAATGACATTGACAATATCTTGATCCAATTTTGCGGAGGATTTTTTCAATGCAAGTGTCTGCCAGTCTCCCATTTCGCCGTCACTGCCATCAGAAAACAATAATTTCAATTTATAGTGGATGCTGCTTTCATTAACATGTTGCGACATGTCGAATGAATATACAGGTAGTTTGTTATCATTGACATGCATTCTACTCATCAGCTTCCAATCACACTGTTGTGTACGATTCACATCAAAACATACGGCTGCATTCCTCGTATTGTACGGTATGTTTGTGTAAAAGACGTTGTTGCTCAGAGATGTCAATAGAATGAAGCTTGCTTTCAGTATCGTCATCTAGTAGCTGTGTTGGTTGAATTCTTCTTCTTCTCGATGTAGGTGCAGCTGTGCGTCTCGGTTCCGTAAACACCTTGTCCCAAACACTCAAATTTTCATAATCTTTAAACAGACAAACTTTCTGCTCATACAATTGGATGTCTGCGCTGAGTTGTCTAGCCTTCAAGCCAAATTCTTCTGGTGTACGTCTCTATTCGTCAGAAGACATGATACAACTGTTTTACACGTTCATACCTTCAATTCACATCATATTACAACACTTTCCCTCTCTTTCTCTCCCTCTCTCTCACTCTCTCTTCTTCTTCTCTTTTCTCTCTCTCTCCCTCTCTTTCTCGTACACATCCAGACAAGGGTGTGGGAAAAGAATACACAGAAAAGTCTAATAATTGTTTCTATATTCTAAATTGTAGAAGTGTATAATAGTATAAATGTAAAAAGGAATAATAAAAATGAAAAGAAAGTTTATTCAATAAAATATGAATATTAGGAATAATTAGATAATACTAAAATAATTGAAAATATACATATATACAACATTTTTGAAAATTATAGTAATGTTGAATTTTTTTCATGGGAAAATAAGTCATCAATACGACAGCGTTGGTTTAAAAATTTTGATGCAAAAATACTAAGGAGGAAATCAATCCGTCAAACTGTATTGACCCCACGGAAGTGTGTCAAACGAATCGTGAATCAGTTTCCGCTTATCATCTTTGGGACTCAGGCCAATTTTAGTCTGCTCGATGGAAAAAACATCGTGAGCGTAGGAACGAATCGTTTGCTAGTCTACGGTCTTTTCTTTCCAAGCCGTCAGACAATTCACATAGTCATCAAAAGTCAACTTATTTTTGACGACGCATTTCTTGACACCCTTGGATTTTTTAGTTATACCAAAATTTTCCAATTCCCTATCTAGTCGTTCTTTACTGAATCCCTTTCTTTCCAATCGCTTCCTCTCTTTTTCAATATCCTCATCCGTTATATCCAATTCATAACTGTACATCTTGGACCGTAGTCCAGCAAAATGCGTAATAATCTTACCGTTTGCCTCATCCTTTAATAGGCCCAAGACTTTTTTATTTACTCGAGGTATACCATGAATATGGTCTGGAGCATAGTCAGACGTGTCGAATCTCTCGATATTTGCATCAATCACCTCACTATACGCATCGTCACATACAATTTCGTAGATGAAGCTGTCCGTATCGGTATACATGAGTTTTACGTCAGCTCCAAGCTTTGGCAACATGAAATTGTAGTGAAAAATTTTTGACAAGTCAAGGATACACATGCCAATGTAGAGAGGTTTATTGAAAATCAGCTCTGCTTTTTTCAACCCTACTGCCACCGAATTGTCATCGAAAACTGTTCGTTGTTGGAAACGAGGACTTGAAATTGATTTTTTAATGCCATAGCGGCCTTTATACATTCTGACTAACTTAACTGTTCTATGATTACGAATATTCTCCATCGTCTTCCCAAACACCGCATTATTGGCCAATTTCCTTAAATCTTTTTCGAAATCGTTCGTGGCTAGAGTCCTCAATCGAGTATTCAACTCGATGTAGGGCTTTAGCCACGTGGATTGTTTGAACTTTAATACTTTATGAATCTTGGTCAATTTCAGACCGTGTTCTAATGCCTGCTTCAAATTTCTGTAATGTGAAGTATATGACTTTTTATCGTACAGCGTGGTCATTAATTTGGATAATTTTGAATTTGGTGGTGTGCGGTGTTCGGGACAAAATGGTAGGTCCTTGTGTAGGTCATGCAACCTCTCAGGATACTCCAAATCAACTTGGAGAATATAGCCTTCTGGACTGTTGTCAGGAATTTGGGTTACATCAATGTCAACATTTTCTACCCATGTAAAGCCCCCATAACCCAGATAGCACGGGACGTCCCGAAGACGTCCATTTTAGGTCCATTTTTGGTCTGAACGTCCAGGACCTTTTATGGACGTTTTTAAGACGTCCATTATTGGACATACTCCGGACGTCCAGAAAAAGACGTCTTTAAAACGTCCAATTTACAGACTCTCACGGTATATCAGTTTAAATTGATATAAGTAGGTAGGTACATATAAATTTTGAAATTAGAATTATTGAATTGAATATGGACATGAATAATGTCAAAAAATATATTATATATCAGCTGTATCAATATATTGAATTTCATTTTATTATTAATATTATGAATTTGAAATATTTATGATTTTAACTGATTTGTACCAACTTATATAGTTATGTTGAATCATATTCCTTCAATCACATAATACCTATACAGTTTGACCATTCTTAAACCCACACTGAAGTATTCATACAAGCCGCGCTTTTATAATAAGATTTGATTGAATCACTGAATATGTAAAGCAACCGTAGAACGCATGCGTGCTCAGCGTTGCCAGACTTACTATTTTAGCAGTAGATCCACTGTTTTTGTCTCCGTTCTACTGTTCAACTATTCAAGGCAATGGTCTGATTGGTCAGGTTTTGATATGACGTAACTACCCAATATGCAACAATGAAAAATTAATGGGACATCACAGTAAGAAGATGTATGATAAAAATATACTGCAACTATCATATTCAGTCTGATTAGTGAAAATTAGCTTTTATTTCCAATCTGGTTGCGGTTTTCAAAAATTTTATTTTTTATTTCAATATTTTTTGTTATTCTTCGTTCGATTTTTGATAGGTAGGTATAGAGACCGAACATGATTTTTTTTTCGTTTATTATATAGGTGACTATGTTTTTTCATTTATGATAGCATTGTGATGATTATCAAAATCTTCTGTTCAGTTTTGATGATCTACTGTTTTTTCCCCACCCATCTACTGCTCCGACAAATTTTCATCCGGCAACACTGTGCGTGTTACGTGTGAAACTGTGAAACGAAAACGTAGGAAGATGGCGTCCGTCAGTTGACCACTGCCGAGTGCCGATTAAACTTTGATTCAGGTCCAAGGACATTCTGAACTTTTTGGGTTATTTGACTGTAAAAGCAGTGAATAAGTGAAATCTTTGCGGATATCATCTATCAACTGGTGAACTTCGATCTCGAGTTCCATCGAGATGTTTATTTGAAGGCAAGTATGGCTATCGACGCTATCGTTTTATTTTCATTCGCATGAAGATGCTTGAGTAAGAACATCAAATCTGGTAGTTGAAAACATTAGATACCTTTCTAAATAATTTGATCTCATGCAAAGCTCTACCTAATCCTATTTCCATCATCTACCAAAGTTTATATTTTTGTATATAGTTAAAACATAATATAATTCGTGCAAGGTTCATAGAGGTTATATAGGTACCTACCTAAGAATCAGTTTATGTATGGAATAAGTTCTCAATGAAATAAAAATAATGAATTATTTCGCTATACTGACTACTACACGTTGAAAGTGGGTGTGTGTTTATGGTTTATGGTATTCACAGAAGATGTTATTGAATATTATTATTATTTACAGATCCAGTGAAGAAGACAACAGAAGGCTGCCAATCAGAAAAAGACATCATCGCGCCTGCGTACCTGGATGAATCACGCGACGTTTTTAGTGGTGCAGCTGCTGATATACGATATGGAAAAGTGGAATTGAAACAACTACCTGACTCTCTGTTCATATTATTGTTTGCGAATAAATGTTAACTAATATTCAAGTATTTCACTCTTCAGATGGGTCAGAAAATCAATAATCAATATTGTCTGAATGTCCTCAATACGTCCATTTTTCATCCCAAAAAGGTCCTAGTCTGGACCTAAACTGGACGTCCCCAAAACATCCTGATTATTAACAATGGACGTCCTCAAAACGTCCATAAGACGTCCGTCGTCCGGAAATGGACGTCCCCAAAACGTCCTGAATGTCCAGAGTGGACGTTTTTAAAACGTCCATAAGACGTACTTGTGCTGATTGGGAAGGGAGAGGTTCACTCATTGCTTTTCCATAATGGTTATTTACATCAAGATAAAGAAGGTACTTTGACGGTTTTTTTGGATCGTAATTTTTCTGGTACTTATTGTTTGCTTCGCTATACCTATTGCAACAAACCGATACTCCTCCTCTTATCGCCTGCTCCACAAACATCACCATGTCGATGTCTCTGATGATTTTCAGCTTACACCCAGTATACTTGAGCATGCAGTCCCAAGGATAGCCGAGCATGGTGTAATACCAAGCAGGATCGAGGCCATAGGTCTTGAGGGATGACGCACGGAAATTTTCCATGACGTCGGCAAGAAGAAGAATATCGGTCCGCATATATAGGTCGCTATATTCTCCCAGTGATTTCAGCTCGAAAGATTCCCAAACTTTTGGCGCGTGCGCGTAATTTTCGTCCGAAATATTTGTATCGTTCAATTTGTTGTAGAAATTTTGAATGCTTGGCAACTCGGATTCATTCAATCTTTCCACATTATCGACATAGTCATATGGGAATACTCCTTTTAGTGTCAACAATTCAAATTTCGTCTCATTTACGTCACTGAATTCCTTCTTTAGAATTTTCAAATCATCGACTTTCGACGTTGACACTAAAGCACTGGTTCTCAAAAAGCGGAAAGAGTAGATGAATCGAAATTTTATGCTTGTTTCATCATCATGTTGTGTAAAGAAAATGTATTTTTCGCGATTAACCGGGAGTACGCTCACACGTCCCCGCTTGGAAATGTCTCTGATTATAAAATGCGAATCATATCCTGAGAGGTTGTGGAACGTAATGGGAACAACGAACAGTTTCCTGAAGTTGAGATTACAGGGAGCCTGGTGTGCGAAGCCTCTGAATGCGCCAGTAAAATGATCGTGGTCACGTACGATAACGTCTTTTGCCTTGAATTTCTCTTCGCAAATGTGGCAGATGGTTGCGCCACTGGTACTAGCTGGTTAAACTACCATTGGAACGATATTTTTCAATTCGGATTCGACAAATTTGGAAATTTTAGACATTCCGCAGGCAAACCAGTCCATGCAATCTCCACCCCTATGACTACGATAAAATGACAGCGAGTTATCGGAAGAACATTTAAAATAGTACCCAGCACTGTATGCTTTATGATGTTGATACTTTGAAGTGGTTTTCGAAATTTTGGAATTACATTTCTTCAACTGCGATTCGAAATCAGCATAAATGATGAAAGGACATGTCTGCTTATACACATGATTCTTGAATTATTCTACAAAATCATACTTGGGGAATGAAATTTTCTCATTATTAATTTGCTCACATAGAGCAGCATGATTATCAAGCTTCTCCTGGCAATAGTAATAGTTGAGGCACCGATCGCAAATAAATTTCTTACTACGATTTTTGTTGAGTTGACTTGATACTAGTCGTGAAAGGTCCTTAATCCAGACATAGTGATATTTTACGTTAACGTTTTCCTCAACATTATCATTATCGGGAGGAGCTTCATAGTCATTCAATTTTGGGAAATATTTGTCTTGAATTAATAGCAAATGTCGATTACATTTATGCTTAGTCAGTCTGGTGGGTACGACAGTGTAAAATGTTCGTTCGTTGACTTCTGTCAACTCTAACGCATAAACATTCACCGAAATGGCATTCATTTTTTCAAATTTTGTGATTTGGGGCAGCTTCATTGGTATGTCTAATCCTTTAATGTTCAAAATCTGTGAATAGGATAATTCTCAACTCTATTTGAATGTGCGTCAGCAGGATGCAAACAACTGACTATGCTCCAATAGAAGCATGCCTCATCATCATTTTGAACGTTAATGCAGGCATGCTTTCTCTCAATCTGCTCTGGTAATTCGATAAACGATGAGCCATTTCCCATTTCATATTTATTTATGGCAACCTCAAGAGAAATAATTTCGCTCAAGGCCCACCCGCTATTCTTCTCGGCAAATTCACTAAGTTTATTAAGGATCACATCTAGCGCATTGATTTTGAACCAATCGGCTAGGTCCGTTCCTGCGTCCACGATGGCATTGGGAGTACAAAAATGTTTGCGGTCAACCAAAGCCCCATTATTTGACTGTTTAATGAAGTCACCGGAAAATGTAAAGTTGACTTTTAGCATTGAAAAGCGCCCCAAAATTTTTGAAATTCTCTTATTTACCAATCCAAATGAATCCTCCAAAAAGTCGATAATCTCCTTATGTCTCAAATTCAGAATAAGACCGGTCTGCACTCTTGACGCCAAGATTGAATTAACATCAATTCAACGAATATAGGCCTTCAGGCCGGAGCCAACATGTCCTCTATTCATAGTTTTGATGAAAAATCTCATCCGTTTCAGTTTTTCGATCTTGGTCTGAATTTTACGCTTCAAACCAATCGAAAAAGTATTTCTTTTCATTGCTAAAACACATTTCCGTATGTGTGAGCGGATTGATTGATTCAATACAAAAAGTGCCAATGGTTTCGAATAATTTTTCTCAATTAATAAAAGAGTTTCGTCGACTTTGGTCAAGGTTTTATTGATGCTCCCCATTGCTGTATTGATGATATTTCACCCAAATAAAACAAATGTAGATTACTTTAATTCTCTAGAATTTCAAACGAAGCTGCTGGTAGTGCCTTTCTAGTCTCCACCTCCCCTCTGAATACCAAGGAATATTTCCTGGTGTTGAAATGCTCAATGTGGGACGAATAGACGTTCGTTACGCGGTTCGGTAGGAAGACGACAAATTCTTCTGGTTCCAGAAGTATGGTCTGTCCGAATTTCGTGTTGACTACTTTTGCTGTTAGGATGTTATGGGGTTGTCCTAGGGGGAGATCTAACAATTTGATGCTATGTTTCTTCTCAACAATCAACGAAGTCGCGTTGATTTGAGTAAGATCCATCTGGTGGGAAGAAAAAGGACAAAAAACAACAGCAGTCCAACAAAGTCATGATGAGCTTGATACTAGGATGGATTATTTTCGATAAAACTAGAAATAAAATCAATCTGCGATTGATCATTGACACTTTCATTGAATTGTCTCTCGAAAAAACTTGGAATGAAAAAGGTTGATGCGGAATGAGCACTAGGTTATATTATTTTCAAAATAAAATGGAAGGGGCCGATAATATAAAACTAGGAAACTCAAAATGGAATGAAAAAGTCAGGTAATATTGGATTGATAATAAAAAAAGAACTTTGATAAAGAGGTACTCACTATTATTGCTATTAATGCACACACACACAAACAGTGATGATTTGGCTGGAGCTGGTCAAGAGACAACGTTCACGATTGCAGACTCGAGTGTGAATGATGTTGCGCTGCGTCGTCGCTTCTATACGCTGGCGGAGATACCAGCGTATAAAAGCGACGCGGGTGTTCTGCGGGTGTTCTGGAAAAACCCATCTAAAACGACTGCTGATAGCGATAATTACTTGCGTCATTCTGATCACGTATTTTGTTCATGCGACTAGTTGGGTTTTTATAGTTTCGATAACCTCTAACCATATCTGTTATACTGCTGATTGTGAAATTGTTGGGTTTTTTGTAGTTTCGATAACCTCCATCCTTATCTGTTGTTATGCTGCTGATTGTGAAATTGTTGGGCTTTTTGAAGTTTCGATAACCTACATCCATATCTGTTATGCTAATTTGCTGTCGTTGCACCCGTGTAGAGATAAGCGCGCGCCAGCGATGGATATTATTTTCCACTCGAAGTTTCTCATCTCTAGAACGCATCTCTCGCTTTGCTTTACCTCTACAGATCCGTTGCAAAGATAAGCGCTCGCCAGCGATGGATATTATTTTCCACTCGGAGTTTCTTATCTCTGGAACGCATCTCTTGCTTCGCTCTACCTCGATAGATCCGTTTCAAAGATAAGCGCGCGCCAGCTATGGATATCCCGTTTGAATAGCATTAAAATAATTGAAATATTACGGAGGTCGGAATACCACAGTGCGAATATACGCTGCCACGTAATGCAAAGGTCCCTGGTTCAATTACCCAGTGGTGACAGCTTTTTTTAATTTATTTATCCACGATGGCGACGTGAGTAGGGGTCGGTGGACTCCAGTCCAGCCCCTCCACTCCACCTACCACGTGACTCGGCCGACCAATCACAGGCCGGCCTGACTCGGCTAGCTACTCGCGGCCCAGCGAATGGGTCGTCATCATCGGCTGGACTGCGATAGATCCGTTCTAGAGATAACGGCGCGCATTTCATTCCATTTTTTCACTTAACAACGGCTATATACAGGGTGTTTGAGTTGGGTAATAGTTTGGAAAAAAAATATAGGGTGAACCCAAAAAAAAAGGCGTTATACCTCTCCGAAGAGTAGACTACCTACATATAAAGGCTACCCGCTATAACATGATATATACAGGGCGTTCGAGTTGGATAGCAATTAAAGAAAAAAATATATACTGGACGCCTCACCCACTTTTGCGGGATTAGACAGCTGACGTATTACATAAGACATTTGACAGTTAACAAAGGATTGATGACACGACGTGACTAGATGACCTGCAAGTAGACTACCCGCTACCTAATAATTCAATATACTGGATGTTTGAGTTAGCGATAGCGATAAGAAATAGGGCGTCTCACAGGTACACTCAGCAAAACATACGTATGATAGAGTATCCGTTTGATATACAGGTTGTTTGAATAGCAATACAAACTCACATAGGGCACTCATGGCCTGACGTTTGACATTTGACAGATGACCAAAAAAAAACGCTATCATACATCAATACTAGACAAACGATACAATGTTTTCGAGGTTATGTTCCATTTCAGACATTCGGTATAGCAAATTTATTTATTCTTTCTATGGTATGTTTTAACTCGTACAACATATACATATAATAATATAGTGCCACTAAATGATCAAGACCTCTATGTCATGTTGACATGTTAATATTGGCAGGAATAATCAACACTTAGGAATATTATACATATAGTGCCCCACTGAAAAAAAGGTATTTCTTTTCGAGCCACCCTGTATAACATTGGCATTTTCAGTTCGGAGAAGATTAGAAGGAAAAGTATTCGAATATTTAATAATTCATTATAGGTGACTGAAACAGCCCGAGATTACGATTTCCTGCCCCTCGGCGCGATTTCCTGTGTGTTTACATGCTGATAACATTAAGTCGCTCTAGGAGTATTATTATTTCATTCTTTAGTTGGGTTGGATATTTAGGATGGTTCAGTGTGTTTTCACTGCCAAAAAAAATCTGTGCGTGTGTGTGTGTTTGTGTGTATGGGAAAAAAATTACAGAGGTCCCGCGCATGAGAGCTGCAACGTTCGATACCTGGATTGTCATGTGGTGCCTGTAAAGTTCCAAAATTTGAGTGGAAATGACACAAATTTCATCATCGGAGATATAGGGTCCAAAATGCATGTCCAGGCTGATTTTTACCAACCACCACCACCACCACCACCACCACCACCACCAAAGAAAATATATATCCTTCACTAAAACACAACGAGGATGCACGCCCTGGCTTCCACTTGATCGCATCGTTTCGCTTCATGAACTTTTGATATACTGTGGTACGTTGCCTATTTCCTACTTTTTGTTGTATCTCTCACGTAAAATTCCCCACGATTCGTGACAGA